ATCATGTCAGATCCATCGCAAGAGCTGCTTCACAAAAACTCGGATTCTTGTTCCGTGCGAAAAGCTACTTTACACCTCAACAGCTTCTCATGATCTACAAAGCGCAGATACGGCCTGTTCTAGAATACTGTTCCCACATATGGGGTTCAGCACCAAAACATACGCTGATGCTCTTAGATTCCATCCAGAGAAGAGCCATTCGCCTGGTGGGTGACGCTACACTCACTCACTCTTTGATATCATTGGAACATCGTAGAAAGGTCGGGGACCTTTCACTTTTCTATCGATACTTCCACGAAAAAAGTTCTTCGAAAATCTCTGCTATCATCCCTTCACTAGCAATACCAATCAGACGAACTAGACAAGCCCAGTCAGCACATCCTTTCGTTGTCAACCTCGAAAGATGTCGAACAGCACTTTATCAAAACTCCTTCATCCATAGAACGGCCAGGCTCTGGAATTCATTGGCTGTCGAAGTATTCCCAACAACATATAATCTCCAAAAGTTGAAAAAAAATTCCAATACCTACCTCCTGTCCCTATCCTCCCTAGGAACGCACGATGTTCTTTGAACATTATAGGGATTCCCTTTCGTGCGCTCCAAGCGATAAAAAAAAACACGTGCTATTCGGCCGTATTCGGGCATTTGCATTGCGCGAGTGGGTTGCGCTCAAGGTTGCGCTTGCGCATTGTGAAAGGAGTCTAGAGTGATTTACAGACTCCAACGTGACTCCAACGTGTGATGCGTGGGCAAGCACTGTTGCCAATTCAAAAATATTTACCTAAAAACAGGAAATAAACTCAAAATCCATGTATTTTGGTGTCCTTTTAATGGAAAAGTATAGATAATATCAGTTCAAGGAAAATCTCTGAGGAGGCTCAGCCTCCGTTGCCTCCTCTGAGAAGCCGCCACTGTCCAGGTGTATTTCGACTATTGCAATCGATTTCTGCTAGTTAGAAACCTTAACATCGTCATTTAAAGAAGTTATCTTTTTTTTTCTGATTTTTACCCCTCGTAGCATCCCTCCTAGAGCCTGACAAAATATGTCCACACTCACTGAAGGCGTATTCTGATAAGGGCTATCAATTTTGTGCGGCTACAACCTCAAAATGTTCATCCAACTGGATTTCTGGAATTTTTTTTCAAATACATACATTTTTATCAGTGTATATTTGTGGATGTGGCTAGTCTCACACCCGTCCAGCTTTCCAATGAGGGGTCGCAAGCCATAGGGTTGCATTTGAAAAAAAAAACATGTTGGGGTAGATACCTGCTACCTCTGAAGGGTTAAATTATCCATATTGCTCGCCAAGTGTAGGTGAATACATTTTTTCTACAAACGTCAAAAAATGACAAGGTTCGCGCATTGATAACAAATTGCGAAGTGACACTTTTTTTCAGTTTCCTATGTTACCATGATTCCTTGCACAAAACAATGCGCGAAGTAAAACAGTGCGCGAAGTACCTACTTCGCGCATTATTGTTATGTAAAATAAATGAGATATTTATATTTCAACTTTATGGTCCTCATTCGTGCAGACATCCACAAAATCATTTATTTCTGAATGTTCAACAATTACTTTGTTTTTTCTCTTGGAGCGCACGAAAGGAAATTCCTATTATGTTCGTGGAACATCATGCGTACCTAGGGAGGATAGGGGGAGACCTAGCATATTTTTACTTTAGAACTATATTTTTTGACGTTTGTAGAAAAAATTTTGTTTGCAACTCGAGCGCGAAATACTTTGATCATCTCGACTATTTTTTTACCTCGGCTACGCCTCGTTAAAAAAATCAGATCTCGATCACCAAAGTAGCATTTCGCGCTCTAGATACAAAAATAACTATAAACGTTAACGTGTCTTGCGAATTTTCAGAAAAATTATCAACTCCCCCAGTAGTGAATTTATTCCATCTAAAGTCTCCTCCCTGTATATACAGGGTGTTTCATTGGGGAAGGTAAATAATTCAACTGTGGATAGGGGTCACTGGGGTGATTTCAAAAAAACCCATGGTTGATGGGTCTTCGACTTCTTATAACCGAGATACAGGATGTTTCATCAATTTTCGAATTTCTCATTTTTTTTGCCATATCTGAAAAGAACATCAAAATTTCTATTCAACGATGTGCTTTTTATTCGTGCACAGACGATTTTAACTATTCATATTATGTGCTCAAAATATTATTTTTGCTCATTATTTTGGGGTACAAAATTGGAATCAGACCAGATTTATTAATTTTATCACTTCCTATTCTGCACTCTACGTGAGTATTACATTTAGAAGGAGTATTTCATATCGTTCTTTGTTCCAGACTTAGCTGCAGGTCCGTCATCAAAACTATACAGGGCTATTCACGATAAAAGCGTTAATAAGATGTTTCTGGCAAACCAGGCAACGGATAAATCTAAAAATTCGAAGGTATGTATAAATTAACATGATCTACACGTCTGAAATATTTGAAACAATCCGCCGTTGCCGCTTCTACTAGAAAGTAGCAGTAACTTTGATTTTTCAAATGGGACACCCTGGATTTTCCCTGAAGAGCTAATTTCATCAAATCACAAAGTTCAGGGTCTAGTGGAACTAATAACTGAGATATTTAGAGTGAGAAAAATCGAGATGTTTAGAATTATTTTGCGAAAATATGTATTATTGATCAAAACGGCTTTTATGTCCCTATCTTAACTTTGTATCTATTGACATTTAATACAAATACAGGATGGTTCATAATTCAGATTTCTGCACCACCCTGTATCTGTTTCAATTGAATATCAAATGGAAAGTTGAGATAGGGACATTGAAGCCGTTGACCATGCAATAATAAATAGTTTCAACACAGAACATTTTTAAGTTGAAACATCTCGATTTTCCACATCCTATATCTCAGTTATCAGTCCCGCTAGACCTTGAATGTTTTGAATCGATGTATTCTGCTGCTCAGCCAGAATCCAAGAATGTAATGAAATACAGGGTGTCCCATTTGAAAAATCGAAGTTGCTGCTACTTTCTAGTAGAAGCGGCAAGGCCGGATCGTTTCAAATATTTCAGTAGTGTAGATTATGTTAATTTATACATACCATTGAAATTTCAGATTTATCCGTTGCCTGGTTTGCCGGAAACATCTTATTAACGCTTATCGTGAAAAGCCCTGTATAGTTTTGATGACGGACCTGCAACTAAGTCTGGAGCAAAGAACGATATGAAATACTACTTCTAATTGTAATACTCACGTATACTGAGTAGGAAGTAATAAAATTATCAAATCTGGTCTGATTCCAATTTTGTACCCCAAAATGAGCAAAAATAATATTTTGAGCACATAATATGAACAGTTAAAATCGTCTGTGCACGAATAAAAAGCACATCGTTGAATAGAAATTTTGATGTTCTCTTCAGATATGGCAAAAAAAATGAGAAATTCGAATGTATAGGGTGTTGTTTTCTGGCAGAAAGAATTTGTGAATTTCAAGTGAAGCCGGAACTGGATTTTATCTTTTGTTGTTGCCTCAATCAATTCCACAGGATAGATTAAGCAAGTGTACCAATTTTTAAAAAAATATATACAGGTTGGTTGGAAAGTTATGAGACAATGAAGATATGGACAAAATTGATGAAACATCCTGTATCTCGGTTATAAGAAGTCGAAGACCCATCAACCATGGGTTTTTTGAAATCACCCCAGTGACCCCTATCCACAGTTGAATTATTTACCTTTACCAATGAAACACCCTGTATGTATATTACATATAAAGACCACCCTGTATAATAAATCAGTCATTAAGTCATAAACATAACGTGAGATGTGAAACGTGTGAAACACTCGGAAAAGGGAATAATATATAGCCTCATTGTGAATTCATTAACTTTCCGTGGTGATAGGTGAATCAGTCAGGATTGATTACTGAAATAATTAACCGACTTTTGGTGGTGATTGGTGAATTCAGAATTGATTACTGAGATTAACTAACCAATCATTACCCGATATTTAGGTCAGAACCAAAAGCTTTCGTTTTCAAATCACCATCTTCATAATTCAACGACATTATTGTGATTCATGCTGCGGGATTATAGATTCAACTAAACTATAAGAATTGAACTAACAACTACTATGAACTTCAAAAGTTGAATTGAAGGAAAAATCTATGTGGGTTTATACATTTACATCTGTCAATTGAATTAATAATTATGATTTACAAAGTTGGCCAACTTTCAACTCAACAACTTAGAATCAGGAAATTAGGAAAAAGGTGGGATTTTTATTGTTCAAGGTTTAAGTGGAGTTTGGTGATATTTTTATGGATTCATACGGATTCATATGAATTGTGGAGACCAAAATTACTTTCTAACATCATTTTGATCTACATCAAAAGACATTTCAAATCTAATTCTTAATTATTATCAGATATGTATAAAAACACCCTCATGATTATCAATTGTTGATTGTTAATTGTTAATTCCTAATTGTTAATTCAATTGAATCTATAAACACAGCATATAATTCCTTATGTTAGTTTAATCAAATCTATGAACCCAGCATAGTATAAAAACACCCTCATGATTATCAATTGTTGATTGTTAATTCCTATATAATTGTTAATTTAATTGAATCTATAAACACAGCATATAATTCCTTATTGTTAGTTTAATCAAATCTATAAACCCAGCATTAATGGTGGATTCATAAACTCAACTAAACTAACAATTAAATTAAGAACTGGGAATTAAGAAAGATGGATACATGGAAATCCCATTGGGGTTTTATGAACTTGTGTCTTGTGTCTGTCAATTAAACTAACAATTAACAACTTCATAGTCTTAGTCATTTTAATATTTCTGTTCTGCAATTGTTCAACTCAGTTTTCATTTCTGTATGTATATGTGAATATATATTGTAATATGCCTTCTTATTTAATTATGTATATTAGGGTTCCTAATTAAATAAAGATCTATCTATCTATCTATCTATCATCATGGATAACAATAAATTTTTCCTTACCTCTAGATTCGATATTGTCCAACGTGACCAAACAATTTTTCGACACTTTTTTCAACCCTTTTCGATATTCAAGGAAAGACGAAAGAAAAAGGAAGTGCTACTTGCTAGTTGCTGGGATGCTGGGAATTGGGAAGAGTGGGAACTGGGAAGTCCCGGTGGCAGTCAGGCAGTGTTGCCTATGCCAACTCAGATTTTCAAAAGTCGCGGAATGACCACCTGAAAAACACCAAAAAACCACCAAACCTGACTGAGACGAAGAAGAAGAATACGCTGCGGGCGAAAATGTTTGCAAATCTAGTGATTTTCTGGTGATTCTTACTTCAGTTTAGATCACCAGATTACACCAGATAATGGAAATCTAGCTGGTCAACGGATCTTGGCTTAATTAACGGTATATGAATATGCATGTGAAAATAGTTTTTTCCCACAGGAAACATAAAGGAACCAAAGAAATGCTTCATAACATCAATGACATACTTGTATATGTTACGTATAAAACAAGAAATATGAGAAACCGAAATTTGATATCCTACAAAAAACAGCCAAAATGTGGAAATAACGTCTGGATAGACAGTGATTTCAGTTGATACCTACCAGTGTTTCTCTAAAAACTCTAGTTCTACATTGTTGAAATTATAGATTTTTTTTCATAAAACGGGATATTTTGGATGCAGGTCCTCATAATCACCAAATCACCAAAATGAACACCAACCACTAGATGTCATATTTTATTTGTCACAAAATTGAAACTCAACCACCAGTTCTAGTGTTCCCAGACAGCACTGGATATTTCTAGAATATTCTCTAAATATGCTAAAAAGGAGGAGTATATTCCGAATATTCAGCGATTATTCCTAGAATATATACATGCCTCTGGAACATCTAGAAGGAATATTCCAAAGTGAATAGTCGGATATGTTCAGGGAATATTCAGGTATGAATATTCCAGGAATATTCCCAAATGAATATTCTCTCTTGTATATTCATGAAATATTCCTAACTGAATGTTCTGTGGGGTATATTCATGAAATATTTTCAACTGAATATTCTGTGCGGTATAGTCATGAAATATTCTCAACTGAATATTCTGTGATGTATATTCATGAATTATTCCATGAATATTCCTATGTTTCTCAACACATAAATACCAATAATCATTATTTCAGATTTTCAGAGATGTGAGTATCGAACATCAATTAGATATAAGGGGATTTTGAAACAAAAAGTGTTTATGATCCGATTTCGAACAACGCTCTCACAAGAAATTGATATGTACAACATTATTCAATTCGATTACTGGCCTAGTGGTCAAGGCGTTGCTCTGATAGTCTTGAGGTCACGAGTTCGATTCATACTTGGGTCACTTTTTTTCATTTTAGAAAATGTTTATTGGAATATTCCAGGAACATTCAACATAGAATATTCTTTTGGATATATTTTATGAATATCTGAGGAATTCCCATTCGCATATTTAGAGAATATTCCACAGATATTCCGGAATATTCCAGATTATTTCTAGAATATTCCAATATTCCGAAAGGAATATGATAGGGAGATTCATGGAATATCTGGTGCTGTCTGGGTTAAATCCACAAAGTTGGCAACACTGGACTGGTCGTTCACATAATCACATCAATACTCGGTGATTCCCCGCGTAGTGTAGAAGTCAATGAAGTATTGCCAACAGTTACCGGAGACGGGTCATCTAGAGACAGGACGCAAAAGAGAAGCAACAAATAAGCCATGCAGCAGTAAGGGCGGGTTTCCACTAGGCGGAAAAGCCTAAGCGGATTTGAAAATCGACTAAAAAAATACGCAAAGGTTTCCATTGCCAGCTTCTTATCAGCAACAATTTCTTGGGATTTTTATGTTAGTTAACCTCATCCACAGTTTGAAACAGTAGTATCCCAGAAATAAAATATTAAAATCATGCAAGAAGAGGTATGAATAGTTATTGAATACTCATATCTCATATTTATTTCTCATTTCATTGTGTTGTCTTTTCCTTTTTTTATATGTAAAACACAAAATTATCGATTTTCTCCAATGATCATATTGGAGTAGGTAATATATTATCATAATCAGGGTCCATCCCAGTTCAAAGTAAAAACACAAAAACTGAGTTTGATTTCGATCATATTGTGAGGTTATAAATCTAGTGAAATCCGATAAAAGTTGACACTACGTCAACGCAAAAAAATTGGCGGTAAAAAAAAACATCATTGAAACAGTGAATTGCTATCGGTCCCAACAGTCATTCAGGCAACCAGGCCATGACCACGTCAATGTGATGTCCCTAATTGGTGATTTTTCGTCAGAGACGACGTCACACACCAATTTATGACGTCACTATGACGTACTTTCTACGTGATAATCATTTCATCATCTCGACGTCGAGCGAACGTCACTTAGAAGGGTAAAATAAGACGTCAGTTTTGTGACGTTGCAGGAACGTCCTGTCGTCGTTCATGTATCCCAGACTATATCTAAACCATCATCAGCTTGTAGTGCCTATACTAGACAGATAAATAGAAAATATTCGATTACCCAACAAATAATACCCAGTAAACCATTTTGTGTTTCTGAAACGTTCCTGAAACAAACTTTGTGAAATATGAAACATTTCACCTATATACTCCGAAACATTTATGAGACATTCTAGAGACCATAAATGACCTAGGGTGTGTAATGTTTCATTGGAATGTTTCAACCCAAATCTCCATGAAACATTCAATAAAGAGTATACATAAACATCTCTGAGATATTTCACTATTGCATTTCATGAAACGTTTCACAAATAGTGTCTTCGAAACATTTCCTCATTGCACTATTTGCAACATTTCCAACATGACTTTTTTGAAACATTTCCGATACATCTCACTTTTGCTGATAATGGAACATTTCGAATATGAAACCATTTTTAGTTCATACCAAGACCACATTACCACAGAAGTTAATCACTTATGAAAGTGAACCCTAATTAACATCATGTGTAATGTAGTCAATTGGTATTAATATAGGTATATGGAGAAAAAAGCAGGGTGAATGAAATGAAACTGCAGCTTTTGTGGATTGAATTATAATAAAAAACCATTTCATTTCATATTTTCCCTTTCTCTAGCTAACCTGAGACCAGATTGGCGGAACCAGGCTGCTACATATCTTTCGAACTCCATGACCGTCACAGCAAAGCTTTTTCTGACAGCACCTGAAAAAATTTTGAGATTCATTTGATCCACTCACCCACTCACCTTTTTCATATTTGTAGTTGTCATTATAAACTTTTAACATTAGCACTACCACCATCAGGCAATATCAATGGACGCTAAAAATGGCTTCACCGGAATTAGAACAACAAAAGAAACAATGGCTTCGTCTTTGTGTTCACCCACTCTCTTCTCGGACTGGACAGTCGGAGCAAGTCGGAGCCGGCCGTGCTTGGTTCGGACTGTCATATGCCGATGTTGCCAGAGTAACCACCCGTCTTCATTGGTCACACTCAAGCATGTGATTCATTATAGCCAATAAAACGGAATCATGAACCTGGCAACGTCGAATATGATGCATTTCAAACAAATAGTAAACACATGTATTGAAACATTCCAGAGATGTTTCACGTCACGCATAACAACTGAGAAATATTTCACATACGTAAACATGGCGATGTTTCAGATGACACGTCTAGAGATTCACGTGAGACATTTCAAGCAGAGAATTCTTTTAACGAATATGAAACGTATGTAGTGACATATTTCTGAAATATTTCACATAGCATGGAGAGCTTCAGAAATTTTTCCTTTATGTTAACATTGAAATGTTTCAGATGACGCGTCTAGAGATTCACGTGAGACATTTCAAGCAGAGATTTTTTGTAACGAATGTGAAACGTATGTATTGACATATTTCTGAAATATTTCACATAGCATGGAGAGCTTCAGAAATGTTTTCTTCATGTTAACATTGGAATGTTTCAGATGACACATCTAGAGATTCACGTGAGACATTCCAAGCAAAGAGTTTTTGTAACGAATATGAGACGTATGTATTGACATATATCTGAAATATTTCACATAGCATGGAGAACTCCAGAAATGTTTCCTTTATGTTAACATTGGAATGTTTCAGATGACACGTATTAGGGAACTTTTGAAATGTTTCTGAAACGTGTTGTGTTTACTGGGTAACTTTTATAATTGAGTCTTATTATTAGCCGCCTCACCAGATCATATACCATGCCACCAGAGACCGGACTTAGATGGAAATCTGAAGATCTTCACTTCTTCGACTTTGTTATTGGCGATGGCGCCGATGGCGAGTAGGCACTTAGTATCTATCAATTATTTTAGTTGACACTTGAGTACCTGTCAAGTATATCAGTTACCACAATGATGGAAGTAAGATATGGTGGTGGGTTGTGCGTATTCGGCCATTATTACATATTGAAAATTTCAGAAAAATCACTCGACCGGCACACTATGATTTCTCTACGTCACAACGAGCGAGACGTTGATTCTACATTTTCCCGCTAGATGGTGATGCTGCTATTGCTGCTGTGACGAGTGGAAATTTTAGGTACCTACGCGGAACATATGTAACAGTGGGATTAAACAACTCTGAATTCGAAAAATCTGCGACAATTTCAAAACTGACAGAAGTCATAATTGTACAATGTCGCCATCTATTAGAAGATCAACGGAACCATTGCTCTCGCTGCTCTCGAGAGGTCGAGTAAATTTCTGAAACAAAAGGGCATCAGTAATTACACCATATTATACTTCCATCATTGTTACCACTTACTATCTGCCAAGTAGGCTACTTACCTGTCAAATATACTAGTTAACACTTAGTATCTGTCAAGTATATTAGTTACCACTTACTATCTGTCAAGTAGGCTACTTATTACCACTTAGTATCTGTCAAGTATACTAGTTAACAGTAGGGTCCCTTGATGGAAATTGACGTTAAAGTCATCTTAACAGGGTACGGACAGATCCTCGTTTCCTCTCACTCTAAAGTGTCTGTGAAACAGTTATATGGTTCCATCCTTATTCAATTCTGGGGATAAACACTAGATTTTTGACATTCGTTGTTTTTTAGGTTATATTGAGGTCACTGGCGTATCATACGTAATTTCCATATGGAATTCCTGATTCAATACTCAATGACTATACCAAGATATAGATAAACAATCCTCTAGTTTTAGAGTCTACTACTCCAGCATAATCTTTGCGAGGTAGGAATCATATAAATTGTACTGAAAGCTTAATATATTTCAGCAAAAGAGACTGTTCTTAGACTGTAAATCAGGGTTGACTGATTGACTAAATGAATTCTGACTTCAAGCTGAGCAGAAGTTTATCTATGAGCTGAATGAGCTGAGCCTTATGTTTGAGAAATGGTGGAAACCTCGATGTGGGTATCTGAAATACTGTATTCATGTCATGTGTGGCTAAATATATTTTCGGAAATACAATTCTGAGAAGAATTTATGGAGTGACTAATATGACACTATGTATAAAACTTCAACTGGGACGAAAAGTAGGCTCAAGGCTGATGAAAAGTAATACGTAAAATGTGCAGGAAAATAAATGATACAATATACTTTACCCCAATGTTACATATGATTTTTCCGTCTCCCCTGAATAAAAAGTCATTTTCGAATAATTTATTGATGAAATTAACAGAGAAGTAGGTATACGCAGTATAACTCACAGACACGTTATTTTCACTCTTGCATCCTACATATTTTGTATTTGTGGTAGAGTAATAATTATATAAACTAATGTTATGTCGCCATATTGGATCCGTCTTCTTGAATTTTCGAATTTTGACGAAACAATCATTATCTCCTACCCCGAAAACCCCCAGATACCAATCTTAAATAGAAGCAGATCATAATTAGGAATTTCTTTCGCTCTATATTGGATCCGTCATCTTGAATTTTCCAAGTTTGACGAAACAATCATTATCTCCAACCTCGGAAAACCCCAGATACCTTCTAATTTTGAATAGAATCGGATCATAATTACAAAACTCGTTCGCCATCTGATCTTCCTCAACAAGTAAATACTTGTAAATACCCTGTACATACCTACTATTAAAATTCTGAATGATTTTTGTAGCGCCCATGATTATGACGTGACAGCAATGTCAGGGATGCCAGTAGACAAAACTAAAGTCTCTAGATCATTAAAAAAGAATGCAGCTATGATCTGTCCGTACCCTGTTAGATGACTTTAACGTCAATTTCCATCAAGGGACCCTAGTTAACAGTTAATATCTGTCAAGTATGCTACTTACCACTTAGTATATGTCAAATAGGCTAGTTAACAGTTAGTATCTGTCAATTATAAAAAAAATACCTATATCATGTGGCGCTTCTATACGCTTTCGTAGGTTATTGATTTGATTCGATGAAAAACTATTTTTGCATCCTTATTTTAGAATCATGTAAAGCCATGCTCAATACTGAAACATTCACAAACGCCTGGTTGAGATAACTGAAACATCAACTCCTAACTTCTCAACACGGAAATAGCCTTTTTCATTCGACTGAGATTTTAGGCTGTGTATACATGTATATGCATCATTTAAATGAACAGAGACAAAAAATGTTGGGTGCGGAAAAAGGTCAGACCAGTACGACAAGTGGTGAACAGTATGAAATAAGTATTGAAAACGCTAGAAATAAGCTAGATTTCGAAAAATGTTCGCCTACGGCGCATTTTTTCATGATCCTGGTTTTTCCATCTGTTTTCAATAGCACAATGGCGTTTTTCAACAATTGGTCGTTGGCAACATTGCTCTGGTTTCATAAAGTTTCATTATGCCATGAACAAATAAGACTGTATATCAGTATGGAAAAAAATAATCAACTCTAGCAAGTGCAGCAATACAAACGAACAGACATATTCCCATTACGAGTACGTACGTTGAGTTGATACTCTTGGCGGTCATAGATTGAACAAAAGAACAAACCAGTGCGGTCAAGGATTAGACGCGTTCGAATTTTCCTATTTATAATCCGACTTTCGATCATTCAAGTGTTTGGAGAATCAGACAATTAATTTCAACAGAGCGTGCCGAAATATGACGCATGATATAATGATTAATAGGTCTTTTTTTTCATTAGATTGAGTAGATTTGATCCGAGATGCTCGTCTCATAAATAAATAACAAAATCGAACATGATAGATGACAGAACACAGACCCTAACTGACCTAACTATCAGTACTTTTCATCTTTGGAAAGAGTTCGGTGTCACAAAGGTACAGGGTTATCCACCATAAATGCCTCCCCCGCTAGCCTACATCAGGAAATACAAGATGCTCGGAGTAAACGATCTATAGGGTACTAGTTTATTTTGCCAAATGAGACAACTTGGTTTTTTGTTTCGGGCCAGGAGCTACTTCACTTTCAGTCAGCTGCTTATGATCTATAAGGCACAAATCGGACCTGTTTTGGAATACTGTTCCCATATTTGGAGTTCAGCATCAGCACCCAAATATATACCCTGAAACTGTTGGATTTTGTCCAAAAAAGGCAATTTGTCTCGTGGGTGATGCCTCGCTCACAAACTCAGTCACTTCTCTGGAACACCGTAGAAAAGTTGGCGATCTGGCTCTATTTCATAGATATTTTCATGGACGATGCTCTCTTCTGAAATATCAACAATTGTTCTTCCCTTGACAGTCACCGCGAGATTAACCCGTCGAGTTGAGGCTTCGCACCCCTTCGTGGTCACATTGGAGACCTGCAGAACATCTCTTTCCAAAGATTCGTTCATCCAACGAACAGCGAGGCTCTGGAACACATTGCCAAGGGAGGTGTTCCCCAAGGCATATAACTTCCAGACATTCAAGAAGAACACCAATTCCTACCTTTTCCCTTGGTCCTCACGCTGTTCTCTGAACATTATAGGATATCCCTTTTCGTGGCAACCAGAACATAAAAAAAAAACAATTTTTGGTGTTATGGCTCTAAGATAAAATAATAAAATATAGGTAAATATTGAGTATATTTAAAAAAAATACTTGGTAATCTTTTGTATACCTATCCAAAAATGAAGCAAATACGTTCTATGACCCATGTCTTAGTTTAGAGTAACCCTCGGAGTAACCTTATTTTGACAGAAATTACATCCCTATTAACAAATTTAATGAAACTAAATTAACAACAACACTGCAATGATACATAAAAGCCAGACAAGTTCAAAGCCTCATCCTCTTTACATTGTAATGACATTCCCTCTCGTGTTGAAAAAGCATTTTAACTTGTCCAGAGAAGGTACAGCCCCTCTCAGCAAACACACAATCCAGGACCAAAACCTCAGCCAAATTCTCCAGTGGCAAACATCTGGATCTACCAAGTTTCGTTCGACATGCAGGACACGACTCCAATTTCCCTTTACAAGTAAAGCATACCACGTGACCATGTTCGCAGTTGTAAATGTAGCCGATCATGTATTCCATGCAAATGGGGCACTGCAAACTGGCTCGCAGCTGATTGGTTTGATCGGATGGAACAACTTCTACTGGTTCCGCGTCAGACTCTTCATTTGCGACGATGTCAATCCTGAATTTCACTGTGTCCACATTCTCGAAAAGAGTATCTATGGTCTCTAGATTGATTCTTCTGTTCCATACATCCTTCGGTGCCTTCCCGTTCTTTTTTGAGTACGGATGGTGAATCAGAGTGCACTTTTTCAAAATGCAGTTAAAGCAGTGCTTCCTTTCATCATATTTCATGATCGTCTGCTCGTCAAAGGTCAAACAAGCATCATTGACGATGCTAGCCAATCTGATATCATAAGTGAAGGTAGTACTGACGTTGTTCAATGAAGCAACGTATACATCGAATTTTGGATCTCCCCCGATCATTATGAAGAATATTTGGTTCCTGAACATCAGAACAGCAATGATATGTTGGGACGTGTTGCATTCAATGGTGAAGGAATCATAGAAAATATTGCACATGTGCTTGTTCAAGCAATGTTTCTCCAAGTTCTTCACTTTGATGGCGAAGCAGGTTTGAGGGTCGATCGGGCACATGACTGTCCTCTCGTTGCAATCGTCTTCGTGGTCTTGCACTTCACTCCAAGGTACCATTTCGTTGCAGCCATCGTAGATGCAAGGGAATGATAATACTTTGGCGATCTTCTCGAAAGCGTAATTTCTGCCCAACGTGATTCTGGGTACGTTTTTGCATCTGCCGCATCGTAGTTCTGTGCCGTCTTTGGAAAGCAGGTCTACTGGTGGTACTGATACGATGTTGAGGCATAGCGAGCATTTCAAGGTCGCTACTTCATTTTGAATGAGCTGCTCCAATGAGTTTGCCATGATATTCTGTTCGGAGAAATTCAGATGTCAGTAGTATACAGGGTGACCTGAAATTAGCATGCCAAACTTAACCAGCGGCTAGGGACATCTGAAAGAGGGGTCCTGAAGATGATCTTTTTTTAGTATTTCCGAAACTGAATTTGATACAGATCCCAACATGATATAGTATTTGTTATATACAGGGTGTTTCATTGGGAAAGGTAAATAATCCAACTGTGAATAGGGGTCACTGGGGTGATTTAAAAAAACCCATGGTTAATGGGTCTTCGACTTCTTATAACCGAGATACAGGATGTTTCATCAATTTTGTCCATATCTTCATTGTCTCATAACTTTCCAACCAACCTGTATATATTTTTAAAAATTGGTACACCTGCTCAATCCACCCTGTGGAATTGATTGAGGCAACAACAAAAGATAAAATCCAGGTCCGGCTTCACTTAAAATTCACAAATTCTTTCTGCCAGAAAACAACACCCTATACAGTCGAATTTCTCATTTTTTTTGCCATATCTGAAAAGAACATCAAAATTTCTATTCAACGATGTGCTTTTTTTTCGTGCACAGACGATTTTAACTGTTCATATTATGTGCTCAAAATATTATTTTTGCTCATTTTGTGGTACAAAATTGGAATCAGACGAGATTTATTAATTTCATTACTTCCTATTCAGTATACGTGAGTATTACATTTAGAAGGAGTATTTCATATCGTTCTTTGTTCCAGACTTAGCTGCAGGTCCGTCATCAAAACTATACAGGGCTTTTCACGATGAGCGTTAATTTGACGTTTTCGGCAAACCGGACAACGGATAAATCTGAAATTTCGATGGTATGTATAAATTAACATAATCTACACTACTGAAATATTTGAAACGATCCGGCCTTGCCGCTTCTACTAGAAAGTAGCAGCAACTTCGATTTTTCATTACATTCTTGGATTCTTGCTGAACAGCAGAATTCATCGATTCAAAACATTCAAGGTCTAGCGGGACTGATAACTGAGATATAGGATGTGGAAAATCGAGATGTTTCAACTTTAGAAATGTTTTGTGTTGAAACTAGGTATTTATTATTGCATGGTCAAAACGGCTTGAATGTCCCTATCTCAACTTTCCATTCGATATTCAATTGAAACAGATACAGGGTGGTGCAGAAATCTGAATTATGAACCATCCTGTATTGGTTTCGATTAAATGTCAATAGATACAAAGTTAAGATAGGGACATGAAAGCCGTTTTGATCAATAATAAATATTTTCGAAAAATAATTCTAAAGTTAAAACATCTCGATTTTTCTCACTCTGAATATCTCAGTTATTAGTCCCACTAGACCCCGAACTTTGTGAATCGATTAAATCAGCTCTTCAGGAAGCATCAAGGGTGTCCCATTTGAAAAATCAAAGTTACTGCTACTTTCGAGTAGAAGCGGCAACGCCGGATTGTTGCAAATATTTCAGACGTGTAGATCATGTTAATTTATACATACCTTCGAATCTTTAGATTAATCCCTTGCCTGGTTTGCCAGAAACATCTAATTAACGCTTATCGTGAAAAGCCCTGTATAGTTTTGATGACGGACCTGCAGCTAAGTCTGGAACAAAGAACGATATGAAATACTCCTTCTAAATGTAATACTCACGTATTCCGAATAGGAAGTAATAAAATTAATAAATCTCGTCTGATTACAATTTTGTACCCCAAAATGAGCAAAAATAATATTCTGAGCACATAATATGACTAGTTGGAATTGTCTGTGCACGAATAAAAAGCACATCGTTGAATATAAATTTCGATGTTCTTTTCAGATATTGCAAAAAAAATGAGAAATTCGAATGTATAGGGTGTTGTTTTCGGACAGAAAGAATTTGTGAATTTTAAGTGAAGCCGGACCTGGATTTTATCTTTTGTTGTTGCCTCAATCAATTCCACAGGGTAGATTGAGCAAGTGTACCAATTTTTAAAAATATATACAGGTTGGTTGGAAAGTTATGAGACAATGAAGATATGGACAAAATTGATGAAACATCCTGTATCTCGGTTATAAGAAGTCGAAGACCCATCAACCATGGGTTTTTTGAAATCACCTCAGTGACCCCTATCCACAGTTGAATTATTTACCTTTCCCAATGAAACACCCTGTATATACAGGGTGAGTCAATAGTGTGTTCTCCTTCTATATTCGCCAAACCGTCAGATATAGAAAAAAATTGAATACAACAGTTATAGGGTTTCTTGGGAACTATCACCTAAAATTATTTTCATATCTATAGGGTGTTCGAATTCCAAGATATCGGTTGATGATGGGTGTTTTCGAATGAGGCACCCTGTATATTATTACATTTTCAGATTCTACCTTAAGAGCTGATTTCATCAATGTATAGCACTTGGAGACTAGCTGAAATGTTCATAGAGATATAGGGTGTACAAAATCTATATTTTTCAACTTTGTGATTTTTTTGTGTTGAAACTATTTATTATTGGTCGAAACGGCTTATACATGTCCCTAACCCAACTTTTGATTCACCATCTACTAACACTTAATTGGAACAAATACAGAGTGGTTCAAAATTCAAGATTTCTAATCACCCTGTATCTATTCCAATTGAATTTCAGTGGATAGTAAATCGAACGTTGAGATAGGGACATGTAAGAGCGGTTTCGACCAATAATATGAATAGTTCTGACACAAAAAAATCCCAAATTTGAATCTTTTCGATTCTGAACACCCTATATCTCTGTAATCATTTCCGCTAGACCCCGAGTGTGACAGACAAAGGGAGCCAGACGTTTACGAGTTGCGTGCCATCATATTTGGATCCGTTTGTTCCCCATCAATCGCCCAATTTGTTAAGAATTATAACGCAAATCTCTACAAAGAACAATACCCTGATATCATGAGAATAATGTGTGAACAACACTATGTGGACGATTATCTTGATTGCAAAAATACTTTACAAGAAGCCATTGATACAGTTGAGTCAGTAATTGAAGTCCACAAAGCTGGGGGTTTCGACATGGTAAACTGGTTAAGTAATTCGAAAGAAGTATTGATATCCATTCCAGAAAGTCATAGAGCCAAAAGAAAAAACACTGAATCTGGATTCAAGGAATTTGGAGAGAATTTTAGGACTATTATGGAATACTGATGACGATACCTTTGTATTTCAATTCGAATTCACGGAAATTCCATCAGCGCACTTATGAATGGCCAAATCACTCCGACAAAAAGAGATCTTCTGCGAAACATGATGACAATCTTTGATCCGATAGGGTTTCTGTCTCCGCTTATTATGAAAGGAAGATTGATACTTCAAGATTGCTGGAGGGACGAAGGAGGATGGGACGAAAAAATTCCAGAACATATTTTAAAAAATTGGCGAAGGTGGTGTGAAAGCATAAAGGGTATTTCAACTTTCACAATACCAAGGTTGTACTTTCCTATGAAAAGAGGTACTGAAAATGTTCAAATGCACGTATTCTGCGATGGAAGTGATCGAGCATTTGCAGCAGTTGACTACTATCGTAGCGAATCAGATAACAACGAGATAAAAGTATCTCTGGTTTCGTAGTGGCGGCTCGTGACTTTCATGACAGAGGAGGCTGAATGATATGAGATTTATTGTGAAAAACAACTCTCTACTCACCCAAATCAATAGCTTTCATGACATTCTGTTTACCCGTTAACCTGAACTTAATACTTGACGAGATGTGTTCCTGTGATTCGCAGTGTCTATCCAATCCGCGAGCCAAATTTTTCAAATCATTATATCCTAATCGCCCCCAACATGATGACTTATCGGTTGAAAATAATACGCAGTACCAACAAAATAGCTTATTTCTTATCTCAGATCCCGTCAGCCAGATATATTTTTTATAATTATCAGAATTGAACGAACGTTGTTACCTGTTACAATCAGATTTTTTAATTCCGGTGTCGGACGTTTGTTTTTCACAATCAATTTATCTTCATGAGACAAAGCACTGAATGGGTTCACCAAAAAGTATTCCACTAAATTGCAATCGTTTGAAACACTCATTTTTCAGAAATTCATAGAGCCCCTAACCATTGACCCAACATAAACATATAAACAATGCCCGCAATTCGCGACGCGACACGACAAGGAAAACTGCCGCCAGACATTCCACCCGTTGAGAGTCGAATGCCCGAAATCGTCTTCCATCAACGCACTATCAGACGAATTTTGCTTGGTCTCAAAACGAATAAGGCTAATGGTCCTGATGGAATTCCACCCATTATACTCAAAAAATGTGCACCAGAATTAACACCGATTCTCTGCAAGTTGTTTACCATCTCGTACAGGTCGGGTATTTTTCCATCATGATGGAAGACAGCTAGAGTCCAACCAATCCCCAAAAAAGGGAACAAGAACCTGCCCAACAACTACAGGCCCATTGCCCTGTTATCAGTAATCTCCAAAGTGATGGAGAAAGCCATCAATATTGAGCTTATCAAATATCTGGAGAGCTCAGGAATCATCAATGATAGACAATACGGCTTTCGCCACCGAAGATCTACTGGAGATCTACTTGCCTACGTCACCCATTTATGGCAATCTCCAATAGAAAAACACGGGGAATCTCTAGCTGTCGCGTTGGACATATCGAAAGCATTCGACCGTGTTTGGCACGAAGGACTCCTCCACAAACTACCATCATACGGCTTACCACCTCAGCTATGCCATCTCTTATCGAGTTTTCTTTCAGGCAGATCGCTTCATGTGGTGGTGGACGGTGTATCGTCTGATACCATTGGCATCAATTCCGGCGTTCCACAAGGATCAATTTTGGCACCAACATTATTCCTGCTTCATATCAATGATCTGTTGGGAGTAACAACTTGCCCCATCCACAGCTTTGCAGATGATAGTACCCTCCATGCTGCGTTCTCTTCCAGAATTCCCATTTCTTCCCAGGAAACTAAGAACTCACGGTGCAGGCAGGTTAATGCTGTCAATGAAGATCTTGCTGAAATCACAG